CTCTCCCTCTCTCTCCTCTCTCTCCCCCTCTCTCCCTCTCCTGTCTCTCCCCCTCTCTTCTCTCTCTCCCTCCATCTCTCTCCTCCCTCCCTCCCTCGCTTCCCCTCTCTGTCTCCCTCTCTCTCCTCTCTCTCCTCCCTCTCTCTCTCATCTCTCTCCCTCTCTCTCCTCTCTCTCTTCCCCCCTCTCTCCCTCTCTCTCCCCTCTCTCCCCCTCTCTCTTCCTCTCTCTCCTCTCTCTCTCCCCCCTCTCTCATTCTGTAAGTTAGATTTGAGGCTGGTAGGAGGCTCAGGTCACAAATTCCCAGGTGTAACAGTCTCATTTCCTATGCTCATCCTCATCCTACCGGGATGGTGGTTACCCATGCATGATCATCCTTGGCCCTTGTCTCCCTGGTTGATGCTCGATCAAGTACCAGACACCAGGTTTCAGGCGGTACAGGCTCTGGACCACGGTCTTTCCATCCTTCTGGCTGGGAAGCTGATCCACCATTCAGGGGTGCTGTCTGCAGTTTCTCCGCTACGTTCGAGGCTCCTGAGCTTAAGAGGTCACCTGCTGCACCAGAGTGTCTGTTCCCTGTGAGCACGGACCCCATTGGTGTTGACAAAGAGAAATAGGACACTCTGCGGCTGTCCTGAGTGACCAGCTTGTTCCACCTGCTTAGCCGCGGGGATCCTACACAAAAAAGGGCAACACAATCTCAAATGTCAGACAGACCGAGAACTCCAGACATTGGGAAGGAGTGGTGAATGGTGGGGGAGGCCGTCTGGGGCAGAGGGGCGTTTGGTAAACCCGTGACTGGGATGTGGGGGCCATTTGAGAGCCCCATAGCCAATAGGAAATTCTGATTCCATGCAAAACCCAGGTAGCCAGCCCCACAGCCAATAGGAAATCCCGATTCCACGCAAAACCCAGGTAGCCAGCCCCACAGCCAATAGGAAATCCCGATTCCATGCAAAACCCAGGTAGCAGGGAGCCAGCCCCACAGCCAATAGGAAGTCCCAGTTCCATGCAAAACCCAGGGAGCCAGCCCCATAGCCAATAGGAGGTAGAATCACCAGAAGAAAGCGCCAACTGGAGCCGTTGAACTCTGAAGGACTTGAAAAACTGTGCCAGGCTATTTCTGTAGCGCTGCCCACCCCCTGCTGCCCGCCTGGCTGCATAGTGTGGGCTTAGCGCGCTGTAGGCCCCACGGCATCGCTTCTCTTTGTCACAGTGCGTGGCTTTGAAGTCTAATATAACAAGTTCACCTGTCACAGGCCCCAGCAGTTCCTCAGTTGTCGCCCCCAGCTCTGCTGCTCCCGCAAAGAGGCGCCTTAGAATCCAACCCCAGAGAAAACGGATGCGGAGCGGAGTGGAGACGGCAGGTGCTTTTTATAGCTTTCAATGGTTGCCAGTAAAACACAGAGCTGACAAAACACCTCCGAGGCAACGGCTTCTCTGGACAGACTGTTTTGAAAGGGATTCGGTTCCATTTAAATGATGGTATTTTGAATATTTTTCCCCCGTATTCAGCACCCCCTGTCTTCCTTTTTTTTCTTTTTTAAATTTTCCATAGGAAAAACATAAATGTGATTTAAAATTGCCTGGGAAAGTCTAGGCATAAATGTTAAAACATTTGGGTGTTGGTTAAAGGGAATTTATGTCTGTAGTTTCCCTCTGTTGCAGGAACTTGCTTTTTATTTTTGGTGGTAAAACGTTGCCCCAGACTCGGTACGATATCCTTTTTTTTTTTTTTTTTTTTTTTGCTGTGTTCTCGATCTTTCTTTAGCAATCCCTCTGCTGTCTGCCTGTTCTGCTTCTGTGTCAGGTGGTCCTGGGAACAAACTGTGCGTAGTCTCCGAAGCAGAAGGCTGAGCCCTGATGCCGGCTGGGCCCAGCAGGTGCACAAGCAGGCCATCCAGGCTGTGGGGTCTGGGGCGAGCAACGGTAGGTGTGCCTGTCGGGAAGGGCATGCCGATGCACGATGGGCAGGCCTCGGAGGTTTCCAGAGACGCCAGCTCCAGATTTTTAAAAGTTTTTGATTCTTAAATGTACACAACAGGAACACAGCCCCTCTGTGCGGTGGGATAAAGGCCACGATTCTGCTGTGGGCCCTCAGGTGTCTCTGCTGTAGATGTCCCAGCTCTCCTGGCCTCGAGGAGCTGGAGCTGTTGTTAATGGGAGAGGGGGAATCTTCTCAGGCTTGAGACTTGGTGGCAAGCAGCCTCCTTCAGAACTGTTTCAGTTTGAAATGGTGTCCTTGTCACACGGCAAGGACGGGCTCATCCAGAGGGCCTGCAAAACTCTTCGTGCCCTGTATTTCTGGGCTGGGTCACCTGTGTAAACCGTGTGAGCCCTGCAGGCTTTCCCTTCCTCTGTCTCCTCTCCCTCCCTCCATTCAGACAAAGTCTTCCTACGTCGCTCACACTGGCCTCAAACTCATGATCATTTTGCCTTCTGAGTACTGGGCATTATAGGTGTGCTCCACCATGCTCGGTTCCAGGCCTTTTTTGTTTTGTTTTTAAGCCAATGTTTTAGGTTGCCATGCAAAGCAAAAGATGTCCTCATGGGATCTTCACATACGTGTCTCCGAGGTGTGTTCTCATGCCAGACTGCTGTCCTACATGCCCCTTCCAGAACCACATCCAGGTCCTTCCCTTTCTCCCTCCAATTCATCCCAAAGCCTCGCTCAAGATCTCTTCCTCCCCTCTCACGAGCCCCTTTCTAGTTTCACGAGTGAACCTCACACACATGCATTCTTCTAAGGCAGGAAGTTATATCCGGCCCCACGTGGCAGGTGTCTTGTGAGACAAAGGGGCGGCATGAGTAGCTGTGACTGGGAAAGTGAAGATGGCGTTGTTGTTCGAGCTGCAGCCGGTACGCACGGAGGTGAGGCTTGAGGCCTTTATCTGTCCACGCCCACCATGCTGCTGGGCTCCTGGAGTGCAGACTGCTGAGGGCAGGGCAGGGGTGCAGCGGGTGGCGATGGGAGGCCCCCCTCCCATGCTCTCACAGTGCACCCCGAGACATCCAGTTTCTTTAAACAGAGGCATTCTCCTGAGTAGGGTTTCCAAACCAGCACCCAGGAACTCCACTCTAGGATGCGGGAAGGAACAGGAGATTTCAGGTTGAGGTTGGGACCCATGGCTCTCAGCGGGCTCTGCCTTGTCGGCGGTCGGCGCACCTCTTCTCCGGGATGCTTACTTTAAGTGTGCTCTGGTTCATTTCCAAGAGAGCAGAGTCTTGCTGAGACATGGCTGTTTCCCCGCTTGCCAGGCCCCCCAGATCTCCCTGCAGGTCTTCGTGGATTGCTGCCGAGTGCCAGCCCTGGGGCAGTAGGGGGCAGAGCACACCTCCTCTCGGCCCTGGGCCCTGGCCTCTTAACCTTGACAGTTAGGCCAGCCAGACCTGACATTCCTGCTGGAGCAAGTTCACACCCCGTGTAAAACCAGACAGGAGAAAGCCGGGCAGGAAGGGCATCGGTGCCTTGGGGATTTGTCATCCAAGAGGGAGCGAGTGAGGTCTAGGGAGCTGTGAAGGCTGCAGTGGCATGAGGCCTGTTAGAGAGGAGAGCCCTGACCCGGGACCTGTGAGTGCTTCTCAGAAGTGAGGTGAGACCTCTGTGGGAGAGGCTTGCTGGATAGTGAGGTCTGGGAGACGGGTGGGAGGGGTGGAGAGGCGGGAGGGGCCAGGACAGGTGGGCGGGGCTGGGGCAGGTGGGCGGGGCTGGGACAGGTGGGAGGGGCTGGGACAGGTTGGGGGGTGGAGAGTTGGGAGGGGCTGAGACAGGTGGGGGGGCTGGGGCAGGTGGGAGGGGTGGATAGGTGGGAGGGCTGGGGCAGGTGGGAGGGGTGGATAGGTGGGAGGGGCTGGGGCAGGTGGGAGGGGTGGATAGGTGGGAGGGGCTGGGGCAGGTGGGCAGGGCTGGGACAGGTGGGAGGGGCTGGGACAGGTTGGGGGGTGGAGAGTTGGGAGGGGCTGGGGCAGGTGGGCAGGGTGGAGAGGCGGTCTGGCTGGTTATTCATTCAGAGGTTGGTGAGATCTACAGAATCTCTTTTTGGAAGGAGAGGACAGACCAAGGCCATGTATTTTACTTTTTTTTTTTTGTGGTTTTGCTTTGTTTTCTTGACATGTAGTGTTGCTATGCAGCCCAAGGTAGCTTTGAAGTTTGCGAGCTTCCTGTCACCCCCATTCCCGGTGCTGATAGTGGCAGTTACACACTGCCATACGTAGCAAGAGGAGCTAAAGAGGGTTGGGGTTCATAGGGGGAGTACTGAAGCCACCTTCAATTACAGGTTGGTGTGATATAGCCCGAGATCATGGGGTACTGGGGGGGGAAGCCCCCTGTTCTGGAAGTCAAGGCTGACCCAGTTTCCTGTTGCAGTGCCTGCCTGCACTGTCTTGTGGGTACAGGCAGCTTTCCGTGCAGATGCAATGCATCCTGGGAAGGGAGCTATTGCTGGCTGGGAGCCAATCACAGTCTTGTTTGCTCCTGAACCAGGAATTTGATGATTGTATCCCAGGGGGAGCAACAATCCCTGACTTCCTCGTTACCCAGCCAGGGGTCATCAAATGCCTTCCATGGGTTCAAGATTCCTTCATAAACATTTATCACAGATCTTTCCAGGCCCGGGAGACTGAGTGGTGAACAAGGGAGGGGAGGTGCCCTGCGAGGCAGGGGGTGGGCAGGAGCACAGGCTGACGTGTCTGAGGGGCATGAGTTCCTCGATTCATTCTTAGGCCTTAGGGAAGCACGCTAGGTCGGAGGTTAGCACGAGGTGAGGTAAGCGTGGTGAAGGCTGCCCCTGAGGAGAGCAGGATGGGAGCGGCTGTGGAGGGCAGAGAGCAGCACCAGTCGGTGTGGTCAGAACATTCCTGATGAGGGTTCTCAGAGGATCTTCCTTTCCTCCAACTCCGCTGGAAGAGTTTCCCGTGGTGTGTGTGTGTGTGTGTGTGTGTGTGTGTGTGTGTGTGTGTGCATGCATGTGTGTGTGTGTGTATGTGTGTGTGTGTATGTGTGTGTGTGTGCATGTGTGTGTGTATGTGTGTGTGTGTGTGTGTGCATGTGTGTGTGTGTGCGCGAGCGCGTGTCCTAAGCAGTTTTGGTCCTGACCACCCAGTGCAATCACATTATCTCCTCTCTCACCAAGCCCACCTGTTTCTCAGCTGTTGCCCACGTGGAGGCGGCCTTGGCACTAGATGCCAGCAATCGCGGGAGATAAGGAGCACCCAGTTAGACGACGCTTACAGCTAAAGCCTGTGCGTGGTGCCCCAGCCCGGCACCCGATGCCTTGATAGGACCGCAGTGGCGAGGGACAGTGTTCTTCACTTAACGGGAAGGACGCGGGGGCGGGGGGGGGGGGCGGGACCTATCGGGTGCAGTGACCTTTCACGGCAGGCAGGCTGTGTGCCGACATTGAGACAATTATCTCGGGAGCCCGTGGGCACCAACTTCCTGTTGATAGCATGCGGAGCTAATTACCTTGAAGAATTGACGGCAGAGGTTGGTGCCTGTAATTAATTGGCCCTCAGGAAGGCCTCGCTTGGCTCAGGACCAGGAGCATCGGTGTCCAGCAGCGCCAAGCCCCCGCGGTTCCCCCTCTTATGTCCTCCCTTCGCCACCGTGGAAGCTGCCCTCCGGTGCTTTGTCGCCTTCTCGAAACCTTTCCAGTGAACCCAACACCCGGTTGGCCGACCACCCACCCCCTCTCTCTGTTTATAGTCTCCAAGGCCTGCAGGGAGGAATCAGTGACCAGTTAATAAACACATTCTGTGTGGAAAAGGTCAGCCTGCGAAGGCCTCGGTAATATATTCCCTCAGAATGAGGGAGCATGAGCATTCTGCTTCCTCGGTCCTCTGGGGGTGGTCCAGAAGTTAGTCGGCCATGTGGATGCTTGATGCCTGTACCTTCAATGAAAGAGGCCCGGTGGGCTGTCTCTCCATCCCACTGGACGGCTGGTGTGTAGGCAGAGGTTCTCATTCTGCCTGGTCCAGCAGCCGATCAGCCCCAAATAAACACACGGACTTACACTAATTATTAAACTATTGGCCGATGGCTAGGGCTTCTTACTGGCTAGCTCTGTCTTGATTGTTAACCCATTTCTATTAATGTAAGTATTTCCACATGGTCTTAGCGGAGAAGGGTCCGGACTTGTTACTCCTTCTTCGGCTACATGGGGTCTCCTCGCAGTACCTCTCCTCCAGCGTTCTCCTCGTCCCCTAGCCCCGCCTATCTTCCTGCCTCTACTGGCCAATCAGTGTTTCATTCATCAACCAATAAGAGACATACAGAAGGACGTCTCCATCACCTGTCTTGGGGGGAGGAGGTAAAGTGGGGAAACACTGTGGCTGTGCGGCTGGGAGCTCCGGTCTCTGCTCTGCGCCTTCATCTCCCACGACGGTGTATACCAGAGTGTGGGCGTCTGCTGCAGCATGGACCAGCCTAAGAGGCATGGGACAGAGGCTACACCTGCCTCCCTGATCCCTAGACACGGGTCCCAAAAGAAGAGGAGCACCAGTGGGCGGCCCTGCACAGTGTCAGCGAGTGAGTGAAACTAAAACCCAAATCTTGTGTGGTTGTAAGGGCAGGAAGCGCCCCTGGACCAGACCGCCCTCTCATGTTTCCTTTCGTATGCTGTGCAGACTGGAGGGACGGTGCAGATTTGGGCTCGGGGGCGAGCTGAGGAGGCTTAAGCTATTGTAGAACCGGGCACAAATGGGTCCAGTTGTCAAAAGAGGCTTGCTTTTGAACATGAAGAAACCATTGGCATCAAAGGTAACAAACCACAGACCATCTTACATCTTTTCTTATTTCCCCAAATCTTTCACTCGAGTTCAGCCTGGTTCACAGCTGCTGGGTAACTCAAAGTGGAGCAGAACCTAGAACCCTCTTTCACCTTCCAGAAACTGTCAGAGAATGTGTTTTCCACAGGAATGGGTGTGTGCATGCGCACAGAGGTGTGTGTGTATGACTGTGTGTGTGTGTGACTGTGTGGTGAATATGTGACACTGTATGTGTGGTATGTGAGAGTGTGTGTGAGTGTGTGACTGTGTGTGTGAGTGTGTGTGACTGTGTGTATGAGTGTGTGATAGTGTGACTTGTGAGAGTGTGTGAGTGTGTGATAGTGTGTATGAATGTATGAGTGTGTGAGCATGTGGTGTGAGTGACTGTGTGTGAGTGAGTGTGTGTATGACTGTGTGTATGAGTGTGTGATAGTGTGACTTGTGAGAGTGTGCGAGTGTGTGATGTGAATGTGTGGTGTGTATGAGTGAGTGTGAGTGTGTTGTGTGTGTGACTGTGTGAGTGAATGTATGAGTGAGTGTGTGGAGTGTGGTGAGTGTGTGACTGTATGTGAGTGTGATAGTGTGTATGAGTGTGTGATAGTGTGTGTGAGTGTGTGGTGTGTATGAGTGAGTGTGTGTGAGTGTGTGACTGTGCATGAGTGTGTGTGATAGTGTGTATGAGTGTGTGACAGTGTGTGTGAGTGTGTAGTGTGTATGAGTGAGTGTGTGTGAGTGTGTCTGTGTGTGAGTGAGTGTGTATGAGTGTGAGTGAGTGTGTGAGAGTGTGTGAGTGTGTGTACATCTCCACTCCTGAGTCCAGTGTGCTGAGTGTTTGCTTCTCATTTCCACCATGGAAAGCTGCTCTCTTTGAAAATTTTTGTATAAACAAAACAGGAATGAATGGAAGATAAGGTAAACTCTGTCTGGAAGCCACCGCCTGAAGTTACCTGGAAGGTAAGTTGATGAACACTCTTTGTATTAGTGCATGTGTTGTAGGTAGTCCTCTGCGATACCATTGTCCATTTCCATTTTGACACACTGTAGGCTCTTTCCGTGTCAGTGGGGATGGTGCTTCACCACTCTTTGTAAAGGCTACACAGGACTCTATTGTATGGTTGTCCCATGATTAATTTAACCTGTCCCTTATAATTCACATTTATCCACATTCACTCAGCAGCATAATTATCCATTTAATCACCTGTCTCTCCCTCTAGGCTGTGTGCTCGCTGAACACGGGGATACATCTGAAGCCCACAGGCGAACAATGGGCACCCAACAAATGTTTACATGGACAGATGGGTAAGTTAGTGACACGGGAAGGAAGAGGTTTTGCTTTGCCCATACTGTGGACTGTTTCTGGCTGTACGTGTGTTTTGAAGGACAGTCCATTAACCCAGGGCTGACGAGGGCACTGTTGTGATTATACAGCCGGCAGTTGCTGTGTTCTTGCTGCAGTGACTTTAAGTCCCTGTGCTACAAAGAAGAATTAATTCGCCATCTTCCCGAAGAAAAGTCCTTGGCTGCTTGGGCCTGTGGGCTGCTCTGCATGCAATTGCAGCCCCTCAGCCGCTCCTGGCTTCCAAAGCCACAAAGACTTCCAGCGAGAGGCCTTTCAGAGTTCTAGACAGGATGAGAGGCCTTTCAGAGTTCTAGACAGGATGAGAGGCCTTTCAGAGTTCTAGGCGGGATGAGAGGCCTTTCAGAGTTCTAGGCGGGATGCCTCGGCCCTTGAGCTATAGTGAGAAATGCGACCCAAAGGAAAGATGTAAACGAAACTCAGCTGCCTCTAAGATCACTAACTGAAAAGAGATTAAACACTGGGCACCTGACTCGGGGGTGGGGGAGGGGGAGGGATGTTAGGCTTCTGTCCCCAACCTTCACTGTGTCTTTAGCTATTGTCACACAGCCTTTGTACTCTTAATTGAGAAAACGCTTCCACAGGAGTGACCTACGTGGGTCACTCTGTAGGCCTTGGTAGGGCAAGTGTGTGCGGCATCTTATTAACTGTTAACTGATGTGGAAGGACCCACCCTGTGTGAATGGTGCCAGCCCTGGGCTGGGGGTCCTGGGTTCTTTAAGAAATCAGGGTGAGCAAGCCGTGAGGAGCAAGCCAGCGAGCAGCGCCCTCAGTGACTTCTGCTTCCGTTCCCGCCTCCAGGTCCCTTCCCTGCTTCAGTCCCTGCCCTCAGTGATGGAGAGTGACCTGAGGGCAAGCCAAAGCAAACCCTCCCCTTAGGGCTGTGGTGTTTCACCACAGCGACGGAAACCCCGGTGAAGACAGTCGTCCAGTGCTGTGCGTCTCAAACAGATTCAAAACCCCCATCTTTGGAAGAAAAGAGCTCGAGTCTCGATTTTCTCATCTGTAAAGTGGGGCAATAGGCACGGCTTCTCAGAAGGTGTGGATTGATAAACTCCTGCCTGCGGTGCAGTAGGGATTACCTGCCCTAGTATGGCTGTGTTGAGAAAGGGTTAGCTCGGAGCAGAGGGAGCAAGTGGTACCCACTGTGCCCAGAGTGTAAGGGATGACCCAGTCCCCAGCAGGGGGGCATTGAGAAGCAGGGCTTTTATGGAGGAGAAAAGTCGTGAGAGAGGGTGGAGTGAGTCCTCATGACGGAGGACTAAGGAGAGCACCCACCTCTGCTGCAGAATACGCCAGGCGCAGGAGTGGCTTCTCACTGGACGCCAGATCGTTTGTGTCTGGGACTTCCCAGCCTTCAGGGCTAGGAATAATAATATCCCGCTTTTAATAAACCAACCCACTGGAAAGTGTTTTGTTACAGCAGCCCAGATAGGGCAAGGTAATTCTCCACAGAGCGTTGGTCCCACCGATTGTGGAAGAGAAGCCTGGAGACCGCCTAGGGGCTGCGGCGTGAGGATAAAGGAAGAGCAGGTGGGTGGGCGGGCGGGGACAAGGCTCCTTCAAGCTTGGCATCTGGGAGTGAAGTTGTCAGTGGAGATCGAGGTGGGCGTAGTGATGGTTAAGGGGAAATCAGGTTCAGAGAGGACTCAGTTCACCCACGCATGGTCTCATTATGCCTTTAGCTCCTCGCTCCTGAAGGTCTGTGGAGACACAGCCAGCGGGTGCTGCTGCTGCTGAGCAGGTCCCTGGCTATGCTCTGGACTGCCCAGGGGCAGCCGTTCTCCCTCACTTTAAATGTGCCCATTACTCCTAGGCCTGCATAGTGTTGTCCATTTTCTTTACTGCTGTGGGACTCTCTCTCCTCCGTATTATACGTTCATATATGTTCTTTATATGTTAAGGTTATAACCCATTTGGCTTATGCTTGTCTCATACACGTTTTTCCAAGTTTATAATTTTAGCTCCTTTGGAGACTATTTTAATAGAGTTTCAATTGGCATGTGTTTGCTGTCCACAGTAACAGGGTTCATGAAGGTATTTTAATATAAACATGTCATGCGTCATGAGCTTTGACCTAATTCACACCCCTCCCCCCCCAATCCCGAACCAGTCATCACCCCCTCCTGTTACTCTCCGTTGCTTCTGCTCTTATGTTGATATACAGGAGCTATAGAAACGCGGAAGGTCACATTGGTTGAGTGTTTTTTTTATGGCATTCCACCGTCCTAATTTGCAGCACCCACGATGGCCTGGTGCTCTCCCGCCCCCTGTGTAGACCCCGAGGCTGGGATCACAAGCATGCGTGGATGCACCCAGAATAAAATTCCCTTCTGAATAAGGGTGAGCGAGCCTGTGGTGTGGACCCGTGGGATTTTTATGCGTCGGATGGGAGCTGGGTAACAGTTGCTTAGTCATTTCGCTATGAGTGTGTTCTATGCTTATTGTGATAAGGAAATTTTAACATCTACTACATGATGTATCTATGTATCTATAGAGGATATGTAACACTCAAATATCCTAAAGAGAACTGGCAATGCATTGGTTACCATAACTGTAAGCCAGCCCTGACTGAATGCTTTCTCTTATAAGAGTTACCATGGTCATGGCGTCTCTTTACAGATTAGAGCACCGACTAACAGTCTCCAGCCTACCCTTTGCAGTTTTGAAGGACTGTTTTAACCAGGTCCTTCTCCAAGGGGAATGTCAGCATGCAGCATTACTTTGTCATTTTGTCATTCCTCTCAGGGGACTTGAAGACACCGTCTAAGGGGGACAGGGTGTTGGAACACACCGTATGGGACATGGCCTGTGGTCCACGTTCAACAGCTCTTTCTTCTCCCCTTTCTTTTGTGGGATTGCAGATTCCAAACTCACTTGCCAGAGTAGCATGGGAATCACAGTGAATGTGGTCAGGCTTAGGAAGGGGTCCACCCCACAGAAAGGGGAGACCTGTTTAAGTGATCGAAGTACCTTAATCCATAAACTCATATGCTGTTTTGAACTGATAGTCTTGTGCACTTTGGCTCTGAGAAAGTGCTCCGTCTTATGGGATGGTTAATGTCTCTGGCTAAGTCTCCCTTGCTGTCACATGCTTTGAGAACAGGCTTTCGAAATTTTCTTTTGTTTTAAATTTGCAGTGCAGTATTAGATTGCTCGGTTCATTTTTTTTAAAAAGCCCTTTATCAAAATGTTAAGCTTGGTTAATTTGCATAAAATATTTCCTCTGCAATTTACTCTCTATTACTTTTGAAACGCAAATTGCCTCTGCTGCCTCTGGGCGGTTGTGATGGCACTCGGGCTATTAGGGCTTTCCATTCCAGGGACAGCAAGTCTCAGGTTTGAAGCTCAGGGAAATAAATTAGAAATCTTTCCGTGTCCTTCCTCTCCTCTCCTCTCCTCTCCTCTCCTCTCCTCTCCTCTCCTCTCCTCTCCTCTCCTCTCCTCTCCTCTCCTCTCCTCTCCTCTCCTCTCCTCTCCTCTCTCTCTCTCTCTCTCTCTCTCTCTGTCTCTCTCTGTCTCTCTCTCTCTCTCTCTGTCTCCCTCCCTCCCTCTCTCCCTCTCCCTCCTCCCCCTCTCTCGTGACCTGTGTTGATCTGAAGAAGGGGAAGAAAGAGAGGCAGTGTCTCAAGGAGACGGTCCAAGGGTTGAGGTGGAGAAGGAAGATGCCTGTAGTTGGGGGATGGGAAGCTCAGAGAGCAGAAAGATGGGGAAGGAGACCTTTGGAGTACGGCCTGGAAGAAACTCATGGCAGCAAACCTAATGGTTATCTCCAGGCAGGGTCCTCTGCCCAGATAGCCCCCACCCCTCCACTCCTCAGCTGCACAGCTCTCATTGCCTCCCAACCACCCCAGGGCCCACTCTATGGAGTCAGAGTAACTGGTACATCATCACCAACAGAAATAGAGGAGCTTTACGCCATGGAACAAGCTCCTGAGGATGCCTTGGAGACCTTCCCAGGGCTTAGTGGCAGGGGCCCTGATGGCCTGGCTTAGTGGCAGGGGCCCTGATGGCCTGGCCTTGCCTATTGACTCCCGTCTCAGACCCAGGCATCCAGGCTCTGTGCAGCTCAGGACCACAGAGGGGAGCTTTCTGCACTTAATGACAGGCCTCCTTCAAGGCCAAGCTGCTCTGCCCGAGAAACACAGACATTCACACAGAGCAGATGGGCAGGCTGCGATCAGGCAGCTGCTGTCTCCTCTCGCTCTACTTTTCTTAGAAAGGAGTAGACTCACAGGAAAGATGGAGGGATCCTGTGTTGGGGAGGGGCCTTCCCTTTGCACACCAGGAATTCCTTCCAGGCTCGCCCAACCTTCTCCTCCGAAACTAACATTAGTTAGAGCAAATGAATATATTAGGCAAAAGGTGGGATTTGTATGCAAGGAGATGGGATTATATTTAGACTCATGTAATTAAAGAGCCATTTATGTCTGAGCACCCTTAAACAGACAAATATAAAACCCATGAATACCGAATTCTACCTGGGCAACTGGCTGGAAGCTCACATTCTCACGTTTAGAGACTCCGAGCCCATCTCTGTCTATTCATTTGGGGCTGACGACTGTGGAACCAAACCTCCTGGCAGCCATGTGTCCTGGATCTGTGCATTCACACGGGGAATGGGGCGACTGATGGAGAGGCACACCAGCTTCAGCATATCAAGGCAGTTGAGCAAACAGTATGCGTATCTCCCGTGGTTTTAGTGATAGGATCCCCAAGAAATCTGCTTGCAACCAGAGTCATATCTAGTCTTAGTGGTCAGCTGACTCTGCTCTTGATCCTGAGTGACCAGATGGAACCTGTGTGGCCAGAGGGCTATAGACGTGGAAGAGACCAGCATTGCTTTGGAGTAGCTTTTTGTCATAGGAGACTGGGAGATGGTTTAAGTATCAGCTAAGGCATCCCCGTACCAAAGTGCATGATGGGTGTGTACCAGCCAAGGCATCTCCATACCAAAGTGCATGATGCATAAACATGAGGACCCAATTTGATCCCCTAGCACCTGTGTGAAAAGCCGGGCGTGGTGGCGTGCTTGCAATACCTTCTGGTGGTGGTGGTGGTGGTGGTGGTGGTGGTGGTGGTGGTGGTGGTGGTGGTGATGGTGGTGGTGATGGTGGTGGTGATGATGGTGGTGGTGGTGGTGGTGGTGGTGGTGGTGGTGGTGGTGGTGATGGTGGTGGTGGTGGTGGTGGTGGTGGTGGTGGTGGTGGTGGTGGTGATGGTGGTGGTGATGGTGGTGGTGATGGTGGTGATGATGGTGGTGGTGGTGGTGGTGGTGGTGGTGGTGGTGGTGGTGGTGATGGTGGTGGTGGTGGTGGTGGTGGTGGTGGTGGTGGTGGTGGTGGTGATGAATTCTTGATGAGTTCCTGGAACCTGCTAGCCACACAGCCTCACATAATTGATGCCCCTGGTCCTGTTGAGAGACTCCATCTCAAACCAAGACAGATGGCTCTTTAGGATGACACCTGAGGTTGACCTCTAGTCTTCATGTGAATATGCTCACACAGAGGAACATGTGCCCACCCCAGTACATCCACTGAAAAACCAATTTGCTCTCCAAATAAAAATTCTTCCAACTTCTCAAAAGCCCAGCCAGCCTTGAAGCAGGGCAGACTCCATTTCATTGGCTTAGCAGTAGTGACAACAAGGCCCACATGTGATGCTAACTATCAGCTTTGGGAGAGCTAGGATTACTGGGAGATGATAGATTGACCTCTGAGCCAGCAGGGACAGGATTATCTTCAATTGGTTAAGTCGGAAGACCAGCTCACTGTGGGTGGCGCTACTCCCTGGGCTGCCTGCCCACTATGGGTGGCGCTACTCCCTGGGTTGCATGAAAAGGAGAAAATGAGTTGAGTGCATGCATGCTCCATTTCTTTCTTCTTCCATACTGTGAGCACAATGTAGCCAGCTGCTTCAAGCTCTGCTGTCCCAACTTCTCTGCCACATGAAACAGTACCTCAAACTGCCCGTCAAGATAAGCACCTCCCCTTCCTAAATTGGTTCTGTCAGGGATTTTGTCGCAGCAAGGAGTGGGCATAGGCATGCCCCTGGCAGTAAAAAGCAATGGGGTTTATCTGCGCCTTCTGCTTTCCTCGCTCTAGAATTCAGCATGGCACTGTGTTGTTGCTCCATGTAGTTCTGTTCTGTCTTGCCCAGAGCTTTGCCTCGGGATACAACCTCTGAAGGAAAAAAAGAATGTCTAGAGGGCAGCATCTCATTCAAATTTATCCTCCTGGAGTCACAGACTAACACTTGGACACTGGTGACCTAAACAAATTTACACGTAGTGCTCACTGCCACAGCCCTGGGGGGGGGTTGGGGGTCCCTTCTTTGCCTGCCAACTGCTTCCCTGGCTTCTGGATTAGTGGCTCTGTCCTCAGGTTCCCTTCTTCTCTGTTGTCGTAGTGTGGCTATTTGTCCCCGGATTTAGAAAATACTCAGATGATAATTGGAATCTTGGAGTCCTTAACTTGGCTGTGGCATCTGCAAAGACTTGACAGACAAAGTCGTGTTCACAGGTTACAGGGGTTTGGATGGATGTATAGTCTGATATCTATCCGGGGACAGAATCAAGGAGACTGGGTGAGCGCCATGCAGACATCTAGCCAGGGGATGAGAAGGGCTTAGTCCAGAGCAGCAGCCTCAGCCTCAGCCTCAGCCCCAGCACCATCATCATCATCATCATCATCATCATCATCATCATCATCATCACCATCATCATCAGCAGCAGCAGCAGCAGCAACAGAGTCCTGAAGAGCTGAAGACTGGTGGCAGGTCTTGTGGGACACAGGAAAGGTATGAGGTGTGAGAAGCTTGAGTGATGGGGCAGGAAAGGCTGATGATGGGGAGCATGGTCTTTTTGTTTTTTCTCTGATAACTCTTATTTAAATTAGAAAAGATCTTATTTTACATATCAATCCCACGTCCCTCTCCCTCCCATCCTCCCATGCCCCCTACTGCCCCCCACTGCCCCCCTTCTGTTCCATAGAAGGGGTGGGGCCTTCCATGGGGGATCCTCAGAGTCTGTCGAATTGTTTGGGGCAGGGGCATCATTTTCTTTGGCTGACCAGCTGTTTCTTCTCTTTTGGAGCAAATGGGGAACTCAGCTGTGAATAGGGTTAGTTCAGTGAATGTGTTAGAGGTCAGGCGAAGACTCCAGGGAGAGAGTTGAAACCAAACTACGCCAGTCCTGGTTACTCCCTGGAACACTGGCATCACTGGAGAGCTTTTTAGATGTGGAGAAATCCCAGAACACATCCCAATCCTCTGTTCCCATGATCCATTGAGTCAGAACCGGCATTTACCAGATGCCAGGTGGTTTAAGCCTGCGATGAACTTTGGAATGTGTTGCCCTCAGGGGATCAGGATTAAGCTATTGGATATTCACAACACAGCCTGAGTTGAGATTTTCTCAGAATTCTCTTACAGGGCCAAACAAAGAATCAGGGAATGACTGGCCTACAGAAAAGGGACTAACAATGCCTGGGTCTCTCCTATGTTGCTCTCAGACGTGTTTCCGTGAGGGAGGTCTGGAAAGTCCACCAGCTTCACAGTCAGGAGGTAAGGGACTTGGGTGAGCTTGACTGGTTCCACAGTGCCCTCCCTAAATATTGGCATTTTCTCCTGAGTGAGGGATTTCTATGTTTTCTGAGTAGACAGGCACACCATCGCGCCCCGCCCTGCCTGGGTCTGACAGCTCGATTGAGGTTCACCATGCTGTGAGCTCTGACAAATGAGTGATGACAAGGGTCCACCACAGCTGAACCACAGAGTGATTTCATTACCCTAGAAGTGCTGTGCGCTCTCCCCCCTCCCCTCCCTGCCCTCCCTTCTCTCTTCCCCCAGTGGCGCTGACCTTTCTAGAGTCCCCGGAATCTCTGCCCTCTCCAGCATGCCACTTTTTAAAACTTTGGTTCCTTTCTCTTGGTTCCGGGAGTTTGAGGTTCCCTGGTGCCTCTGAAGCACTTCTTTTCATAATGTTGTGTCCTGTCGACATCTTAATTGACATTTAATATTTATGCTTACTTCTGAGGCACAGCGTTATAATTTGACACATGTACGTGGCAGATAGTGACTGAATGGCAACAGTTAGCATTTTCTTCCCTGTAAATACCTTCTTCCTGCATTGGGAGCCCTCAAGTTCTTCTGTAGTTGTTTTGAAATGCAGGGGTGGTTGTGTGCTACGGGGTGTTAAAACCACACCCACACACCCGCCTTTCGGTATTCACTGTCTGTCCCTGCCTACCGGTCTTCCAACAATTCCCTCTTGCCTCACTTCTAGCTTTCTACTTCTATGTGGTCAACACACACACACACACACACACACGCATGTGTGTGCACGTGCATACATACACATGCACCCATGCATGTGCGAGCACACACACACAACACACACGCTCGCACGCGCACACTCACACACGCACACACGCATGTGTGTGCACGGGCATACACACACATGCACCCATGCACGTGCGAGCACACACACAACACACACACATGCATGTGCACACACACACACTTTTGGTCTTTTGCGATAGATCTTACTCTTAGTCCAAGCTGGTTTGGAACTCAATACATAGTCCAGACTAACTCAGACTCCACACCCTTCCTGCCTTAGCCTCTTGAATGCTGGGATCGCAGGAATGCAACATCGTGCTTGTTTCTTTTTTGTGCGGAATAATGTTCCTTTTTTTTTCTTGAGATTGCACAGCTGACTTATTCATTCACCTTTGGAAGCCATTTTAACTGCCTCCACATTCTGTCAGATATGAATATAGTTACGAGCATCCTCGTGCAGGGTTTTGTGTGGGTGTGAGTTTTGCGCCTGTTTAGGCAAATGCCGGTTGGCATAATGTCCCATCGGCGGCTGTGCCTGAGCACTCACACATTCTAGTCACGAGTCTCTGCTCTATCCACCACAGACTGCAGTCGAGGCTTCCCTGACCAGGGTGGTGAGAGCGTGGGCGTCTACGGATATAAACGTAAGTACCCAGGACATAGCTTGATGGTGTGACCATTTACCAAAACAGCGCCCGCAGATTCTCTCACTGAGTCTGCGACTTCCCCAGTCATGGGCTTTGACTGTGTTTAAGGTACCAGGCATGGATTCCTTCTTGTAGAGCAGGCCTCAGATTCAGTCAAGGATGGACTGCCCCATAGCCAGCCTTGCCACTATTGCATGGGCGGGCACAGCTTGCCTAGCAGGTTAGTACTACAGCATTCAGAGTCAACACTGGGTGATACCACTGACGCCTTCTCTCGCTCAGGAAGCATAGCGCCTTCTGTCACCATGAAAGCTAGCCAGAAGGGAGGCTTTCTAAACTGGCTCAAGATTGATTTCTCTATGTCCTGCAACCAAAGTCTGTGGCATCTTGAGGAATATGGTCTTATCATCTATTTATGTTGGACAGCCGAGAACAATGGCACTAGCCTGTATTGTTGAGGGAACCTCTGACCGATAATTCACAGGGAGGTATCCTGGGTGTGGCACTGAAATTTTCATATAACAAGCAATGTCTTCTGGGAGTAGCATTGTTCACTGTATGAGTTAGTTTCTCCCTTAGGTTTCTACTGCTGCGATGAAACGCTCTGACCGGAAGAGGTTTGCTTGGCTCACACTTCTGCACTGTAGTCTATCACTGAAGGAAGTCGGAACAGGAACTTGAACAGGGCAGGGACCTGGAGGCAGGAACTGACGCCGAGGCCACAGAGGAGTTCTGCTTACTGGCTTTCTCATCATGACTTGCTAAGCCTGCTTTCTTATAGAACCCAGGATCACCATCCCTGGGGGTGGCACCACCCACCATGGGCTGGACCCTTCCACATCAATCACAAATTAAGAAAATGCCCTATAGGCTTGCCTACAGTCCAGTCTTAATAAATGCATTTTCTCCATTGAGGCTCCCTCCTCTCAAATGACTTTAGCTTGTGCAAATTGACATAAAACTATCCAACACATCACCCATGCAAGGTACCCACAAAGCTGTCTCTCTATCTTATTTAAATTTTTTATTTTTATTTCTTCTTCTTCTTCTTCTTCTTCTTCTTCTTCTTCTTCTTCTTCTTCTTCTTCTTCTTCTTCTTCCTCTCCCTCCTCCTTCTCCTCCTCCTCCTCCTCCTTCTCCTCCTCCATCTCAAGACAAGTTCTTTTTAGGTCCATGGCTGGTCTAGGTAGAACTTGTAACATAGATTATTCTGGCCTTGGACTTGAAAAGTGCCTGGCAAGCGCTGGAATTATGGGAAGCCAGGGAAGAGCCTTGTGAGATGGACAGGGACTGCTCTGGGGAGATCAGGTGTTGGTCCCCGCACTAGGAAGGTGGAGGTGCTGCCTTTGCTTGGGCGATTCACCTTGAGGAAGACACCTACTGTCTTAGACCTCAGTTTCCTCTTGTGTGACGTGAGACAGACTTAGTTGGTTTGGGGTTTTCCTCTAGTTACTTTTAAGCTCTGAGAGAGACTTCTCGGTGCTGGCGCTCTGGACTTGCACTGATGGGGGTCTCCCCGCTAGGAGGCAAAGCACACACTCCTTTGTTTACCATCCTTTTTCCTAACTTAAAATGAGTTTGGTGTGGAAGGCAGGCACAGTGACCCTTGGCTCTGAGAAGGGGCCTCCCCGCTGCTTTACCACATCATGACATTTGTCACACAGCAGTAGCTTTTCCCTCCTCCTCCGGCATCGCCTTGCTGAAAATGGAACAATCCTGGCTAAGGATGAACCTAGGCCCTTCAGTGGGCTCGGGCTGACTCTGACTGAAAGGGTCCTAAGTAGAAGAGGGATGGGGGGGAGGTTGGTGTGCGGGTTGGCCCAGCCTCAGAGTTGGTAACCTGTCTCCTGGGCTGAATTTCTTCCTTTCTCAGTGTGTTTAGTCCCTGCTTTTCCAATTATTCTGTGGTCCCTGATTTGCCATTAAGTTCGTCATTATCTTCCAAAGTCCACAGCAGAGAAATAGCTGAGACAATTTCTCCTGAAATTGTAATGTGCCCACTTGAACAGCAGTTCTAATTTCCCGAAGCCTAGCTCTGTTCTGAAGAACTGTCTAGCTCCCCCCTCTTTAAATTGAATTTTGTCATCAGAGAAACTGCCAATACTTACTACCAGCATCGTTATTTTTCTTTACATATTTTCGTCTGAGCTCTCAAGTATAAAAAGCCCTCTCTCCTTCCTTTCCAAGAGTCGAGTCTCAACTGCGTGAACAGATTGTGCAATTTCACACGGGCTTCTGGCTTTGCCGTGAAGTGGAACACGCTGCCCATTGTCTCCTTGTCTCTTCTTGCAAATGATGGATTTTCTCCTGTGGCAAGTCGTCGCGGGGAGAGGTCAGACAATTCTGCGAAGTATAAAGGGTCTTGAGAGGTCTCTTGCTCCAACCCTGCCCTCTGACAGAATTATGTTCAAGCCATTCCCGCACGGAAAAGGGAATAACAAAACCTCTCTCCCCCTTTTCTCAAGAGGGTCTTGTGTAAGGTCTTAAGTTTCAAGACAAGCTGGTTAACCAAGTCCAGAGGACTTTGCTGTGAAACACCCAGTTTGAAGCAGACACAGCAAGGAAGGCCCGGGGGACAAATAAAATCAGTGATGGGCGCTTTGCAGACAGGGACCGAAGCGCGGGGCAGAGAGGCTGGGGTTGGGTGAGCTGGATGTAGCTTGAAAGGCGCCAGGTGAGGCTGGACTCAGTACACGTGGTTTATAAATTAGATACGCCTGCCAGTCACTTGGGCTCCGTGCAGTAGACAGAAAGAGCAGCTGACATCTCCGTGGTGGGGGACTACCGTGGGTTGCACCCACCATGCCGCCACACACAGATGGACACAGATGATCATTTTTCTATACAGTCTGAAGTGGCTATCCCCCATTTACACACAAGAACACGGGGAAGGAGTGATCCCAAGGCTCCTTGTAACCTTGTGTCCGAGGAGAAACCTACTTTTAAAAGAAGATTTATTTTTCCTCTTGAATCGTGTGTGTGCGTGAGTGTGTGCGTGTGTGTGCGTGAGTGCAGGCACCTGCAGAGGGGAGGGGCACTGGCTGGCCCTCGAGCTGGAGTTGCAGGTGGCTGTGGGTGCTGGGAACTGAACTCCTGTTCTCTGCAAGAGCAGAGCACACTCTTCACCATGGAGACAGGGCTCCGCCCCCCAAGCCTTACTCCCTTCGATGACAGCTTTGAGGTTTAGAAACAGGGCTTCTCCATGTAGCCCTGGCTGTCCTGGAACTCACTCTGTAGACCAGGGCTGGCCTCGAACTCACAGAGATCTGCCTGCTACTGCTGGAATTAAAGGTGTGTGTGCCACCACCGCCTGGCTGAAGCTTCTTTCTTTTGCCCAAAGGTTGTCAAGAGAAACTGCCTTTTAGATAAGCAGTAGCTGTATAATTTTAGGTCAGTCAGTTTTGCGGCAATTTCCCCTCTGTGGACGAATGAGGTTCCCTTAAGAGTTTGCACAGACTTTGTGTATTTGAGTTCAGAATTAATTCTCCCTTTGTCACCCTTGCCCCTGTTACATAATCATTTATTTTGCTTTCTGTGTATGACTGTTTTGCCTGCGTGTATGTGTGTATAGCACATGTGTGTCTGATGCCTACAGAAGGCAGAAGCGGGCATCAGATCTCCTGGAACTGGAGTTACGGAGAGCTGGGAGCTGCCATGTGGGTGCTAAGAACCGCATCCAGGTTTCTGGAAGAGCAGCCAGTGCTCTTAACTGTGGAGGCATTGCGTCAGGACCCCAGCCCCCATCCCCTGTGAGGACCACAGGAGGCGGACTGTGTGTGCAGTTGGAGCCCTCGGCCTCCCTTTGTGAATTGTCGTCTGTCTGAGGGGTGGTGAGCGGGGTCCCGTTTCCTCCCTGTGGGCTGCAGATGGAATCTCAGACACTCTGTTCCTTGCTGAGTTCTGTCAGCCTCCCTGAGGTGTACAATCCCTTTGGAGGGCCCAGCTTCCAGCCTGTCCTTTTAATAAGTGAACACCCACACATTCAATGCCCCTGCCACCATCCTCGCTACAGTGGGCTCATCATTGACGTTAAGCTGTTTATTACAAGGCAATGAAAAAATAAAGCTTTTTGTTTCTTCAAAAACCAGGCCAAAAGTATCAACTCTGTTATCATGTTATTTAATCTTCAGATATTAATGTCCATCTACGCTGCAGCCTCCCCAGGGAGCCAGCAGCGGGAAGGGTGCTTCACAGCCTGGGATGTGTGTTTCATCTCCGCTTTATTAAATTGGAGTAGAACTGTCATTTGTTCTTCTAATAGATATTTAAACAGCACACCGTGTGTTAGTGCTCTCTGTAACAGTGTCTCTTTGAGACACCTAAACAGTCAGGGAGAGATCAAATTTCAACCTCATCTTAATCTGCCACCCACACATACTGCTATTTACGGTCCGCATGGGCGGAGTCACTCCTGGGCCACAAGCGGTGGTCCTGCCTCAGGAGACTTCTTTCTTTTCTCGGGAGGGGGTGACTGTCGCTGCTGATGACTTAGCAAGTTTCTTCATGTGGTAAAGCACACGTGGCACTTATCATCCAAACTGTTTTCATGGTGCAGTTCAGCGGGACTAGGCACGTACACGCCGTTGTACAGACATGACCACCACCCGTCTCCAGAACCCGTTCACTTTGCAAAACTGGGACGCGTACCCACTAAACACCTCTGCATGCCTGCCTCCCTCAGCCCCTCTGTTATTCTGTCTCTACAGACTCAGTGACCCACACGATGGCTTTCGTTTTGGCCCTGGCTCATTTCACCCTACCGGTCCTCAGGGCTCATCTCTCATTGTCTGTGAGAATTTCCAGCCGCTCTCAGGTTGAGTATAACCTGTTGTACGCCACTCTCAGTTGCTCTGATGAACACAATGACCTAAAGCCATGGGCAGAGGAAAGGGTTCATTGAATCTTGCAGCTTACAGTCCGCCATTGACAGAGGCCAAGGCAGGAACTAAAGGCGGGGCGGAAGTTAGGGAAGAACACTGCCCAAGGGGTGTTTCCTGACTCACACAGCTCAGACTCACCTGCCTGGGGATGGCGCTGCCCACAGTGGTCCCCCCCCCCACATCAACCATTAATCAAGAGACAGGGTTGGCCACAGGCCAATCCTATGCGACTAGTTCCTCAATAGAGGCTCCCACTTCTTAAGTGACTCTAAGTTGTGGCAAGCTGAAAAAAACTAACCAGCATTCTGGATCACATGCTAACGATATCTTTAACTTTGAGAGGGTCTCTATATTACTTTTTATACTGACCATATGATTTTATTGAATATATCCACGATTATTCATAGTGCTAAAATTTAAGGATTTTATGTAGTCAAATATTTTACAAAAATGTTCCTTTCATTTAACATATTCTTTGTGTATTTCTTTTTGATTAGTTTACGCCAAGTCTTCTTTGGTTACATTGTTGAGATTCCCCTGCCCCCATATTCATTATCTAAACCATAAGACAGTTCTGCCAACACCCTCTTGTCTAGAATCCAGGCTTGGGAGGTGGCCCGGTGGATACAATATAGTGCAAGTGTAAGAACAGGAGTTCATTTCCCCAGCACCACATAAAGTCAGGCCGGCATTGCAGATGCCTGTAATCCCAGCACTTGGAAGGCGGAGTCAAGCTGGCAAGACACACTGCCTCAATACACAAAGTGGAGAGCCGCAGAGGAGGACACGCATTGTCAGTTTCAGGCCCAGTAGCCAGTACCCAGACACACAGGCAGACTCACACACATGCAAACATGTGCATAACATATGCATACATGTATGCCCTCACGTATGTACAATTATATGTGTGTGTGTGTGTGTTTTATGCATTTTCCTTTCCCTTAATCATGTTTCATGTCTTACAGCAAATACCAATTTTGAGGTTGCCCTTAGGCTCTCCCATGCTTAACCCTACACGCAGTTGTTGGCCTTGCAAATCTGCCCTCCCCATAGCAGCCAGATAAAGCTTTCTAAATTCTACCTCATGACGCCTTTCTGCTCCAGTCCTCTTAAGATTTCTCTGGCTTCCTCAAATCTAAAGGCCTTCTTGCCATGATGGCAAGGTCTTCAGGGTCTAGACCTTGCTTCTGACCACACCCCCCCCCATGTCTCTGCCATGGTGATATCCCAGCTGCTCTGAGAACACCCGGTGCACCCTTCCCTGGGCACCTTCATTTGGTCTGTGTTTCTTCTCCCTGGGGCACCCGCACTTCCATCCCCATCCCCCACCCCCAGGGGTGTGGCTTGGACTCCTCTGCCTCAGAACCCTCCTTATGCTCTCTGACGATTGCTTAAATGCTGCTTTCTCAAAAGGGCCCTGTTTAGACGTCTAATCTGGCCCCCTCTCCTCCTGTCCCTGTCCCTTTGCCTGTTTTCTTCACTTGGCACCCGGTTCTTCATCTTTTACTATCCAGCAGGAAGCGAGCTCCATGAGGAGACCAGGAGTACGTGACCTCACCTGCTCCGTTCATTACCGTAGCACAGATCCTTCTAAAGAGCCTGGCACATGCACATTTCTACATCACCGCTGGAACCAGTTTATAGCCGTATGTTCACACTGTGACGATAAATTCTTGAGCACGAAGGCGGCTTTCCAGAGCTTCCTGCCTTCTAAGACAGATCCCGGCGCACGCTGCCTTTCCAGAGATCCCCGGTTTGGCTCCCAGCACACACACTGGGTGGCTCACCGCAGCCTATAACTCTAGCTCCTGGGGGATCTGACGTCTCTGGGCTCCAAGGGCAGGGCACTATATGCGTATACCTACTCACCCCCGTCTGGAAAATGGGGGTGAACAATACAACCTGCTTATTGCATTGCAGCTGAGGGTTCAGGGAGCTCAGCTGGGAGGTCTGTTGGTCATACCTTGCTTTCAGAAAGACTTGGAAAAGTCAGTGCTGAAATTGAGACTTTTTAATTAATTAATTAATTAATTTATTTTTGGTTTTACAAGACAGGGTTTCTCTGTTTTGGAGGCTGTCGGTCTAGCCTGGCCTCGAACTCACAGAGATCCGCCTGCCTCTGCCTCCCGAGTGCTGGGATTAAAGGCATGCGCCACCAACGCCCGGCGAGACTTTTTTATTTATGCATTTTCTTTTCCTAATCCATATATATATATATATATATATATATATATATATATATATATGAAGAAAGTACCAATTTTGGGGCCTCCATGGTGTCCACACTCAAGACTGCCCTTCTCTGGTTTCCTTCATTGCAAACCATGCCGTGACAGGTCCTTTCTGTGCGCTTTTAAAGCAGTACCTGGTTAGACAGGGTCTGCAGCTGGATACATCTGGGAGAATAAACCACACTGCCCGTTCCCGGCTGGAAGACCCCAGTCAAACTCTTTAAACTCTCTCGACTTCAGTGTTGAACAAAGACCCAGGTGCCGTGCAAACAGAGCCGCTGTGAGGCCTGGAGGTGTTGGCCGAGTGCCATGTTAGCAGGTACTCAGGAAATACTGCTGCCTTCTTTCTTTATTGTCCCTAGTTTGTGGGCTGACGGCCTTCTGGAGACTCAGGGGGAGGCGGGTGCATTGCTGAGTTCCAGTCAGAGCAACTTGCTCTTGGAAAAGTGAGTTTGTCTAACGTCTACGGGCAGACAGGGTTCCTCCACAACCTCCCCGTTCTGGAGGATGGCCCTGATTCAGACTCTCACGGGAGGATGAAGAAACCTCTTTCCCCATACACGGAGAGCCATCACAACAGTGCGTGAGATCACTGAATCCCAGCTCCCACAGTGGCTGGTATCAACGCACAGGTCACGGCCACTATGCCCTGGCTGCCACTCCTGCTACAATAAGCAAGTTTAACTCTAGACCGTGCAGGTTTTCCCCCATCATGTCTGTGACACTCTAGGGGAGAGTCATTCTGTCTGAGGAGGAGCAGCTTTCAGATGTGGATGACTGGGGAAGGGCCTGCTGGGAAACCAGCCTCTTCTAGGAAGTGGGGAGATTTTGGAGGTTTGAGGCGAGGGAGGTGGGGGAGGAGAGAACCAAAAGAATTGCAGAGATTGTCTCTCTGTGGTGGCATAACAGAACGGGCGAATTTACAGACAAATGTGGGTTTTGAGACTGCAAATAAAAGATTTTTTTTCTGGCCGAGGACTCTTTACTTGGAATGTTTACCACAGTTTTAAGTGTTAGGAACCAAACTAAAGCTGGCTTAAAGGAAAAGAGGAAAACAAAGGATGCTTGTGAGTGTTCCCAAACTGCTCCGTCTCAGCTCTGCCCCCTCCCGAGGGCCTCAGTGGCCATCTCTTCTAAGAAAGGCAGCGGAGTCATCCCGACTCTGGCCGTCGTCTTAGTATCCTCAATGGGAACAGAACCATCGTTTCTTGGCTATTTCTAACAGGATTCTTACAACCAGACCTCATGCTCACGCTGAGCTCGGCATGCTCTGCGGAGAAGCACATAGCTTCCCTCGGCACCCTGGGCTCTTTAGCTTCAGTCTGTGGACCCGCCCCCTTCCCCCCTCCCCGTCCTCTCCCTGCCCCCTCCCGGCCCCGGGCATCCAAATCCACCCATGCCCACGTTTCTCACGTAAATTGTGCCTGCAGGCCCGAACTCCTACACACCTCAGTCACCTGCGGACTGCCGAAAATGCCTGTCCGTGTAAATGCTCTGTGTACACGGCCATGCCTCCCTGTTTACAAAATAACAACATACACGCTAAGTACTCACACAACAAGGGGTCTAAATCCCCAGGAGCCACAGAGTTGCAGCCGCCAGTACCCACAGGAGCACTGGAATACCTGAGACTCTGTGGGGTGGTGGGTGATCATGGTGGGGGACCTGTGTGGTACTCCGTTTGCATGAGTTCGGTGTTGCACTTTGCATACAAATGTGGGTTTTGCTTTTGGGAAAAAAGCGAGGTCCTCCCCTTTAAAGTTTTTCTTTTCTTTTTTTTTTTTCTTTTTTTGTGGGACTGAAGGGATGGCTCAGCAGTTAAAAGCACCTGCTGCTTCTGCAGAGGACCCAGGTTTGGTTCCCAGCATCACATGATGGCGCACAACCGTCTACAGCTGCAATTTCATACATAGGATCTGATGCCCTCTTCTGGCCTCCTTAGGCACTGCACATGTACAGTAAAAAGCTATGGG